AGCCTCAGCAATCGCGCTGTTGATTCGCTGCCACATCTGACGGTGACCATCGTCCACAGGCTTTGGCGCAAACTCTGCAAGATTCCCAATTTCAATTGCCATGTTGCTCCTCCAGGGAAGGACCGAATTGTCAAATGGCAAAGGCCAACGACTCAAGAGCGTCAAGACGGCTAGAGCCGACTGTCTACAGAAGAGGAGGGAGGCCATACATGAAAAATAATGTCGGACCCTGCGGCGCAAGATGCCCCCCCGGGCCCTCTATATTCATATTTAGGGTGCGGCAATGGAGAAGGCATGGGTGGACAGAAATATTCAAACCCACAGACCACCACCCATACTAAAATCAACATTGACTTCGTGAAAGGGAGAGCGTTGAACATCCCCCTCAAGTGTGTGAGGGCTCGGATATGTTGTCCATGTACTGGAGGGCGGTGGGCCAAAACGACGAGGAATCATATGATGGAGGAGGGGGGCGGTAGGAGGAGAACTATGGGGAGGTCGGAGGAAAGAGGGACAGGAGGTTGATTCAGGATGAATTCCTTCTCGCCCACCGATTCCTATTCATCACCACCACCAATATCACTGTTTCAACACAATTCTGGAGTCCTATTCAGAAACGTTGTGCAATGTCCTGAACAGTCCTAACCGTTAAGACAACCTGAAGACGTCCTATCTTGTGAAACACATGCTGGCCCAACACGACCCTAAAGGCCTGGCTTGAGGGCCCGTCATCATCATACGCCACCGTGAACTGTGCATGTTGAGGCGTGGACAACTGCCAAGGGCTGCCTGGTAGGGCTTATTCACTCTAATAAGGGACCCCCCCGTTACCCGAGTTCCCTGCGTACGCCGCAGCCCCACCCCGAGGCCACGATCCTTCGTAAAAGAACCATGAATCCTCGCTACTAAGATGGCCCATGCAGGCCACCAAAAATATCAAGATGGCCCAAGATGTCTCGAAGACGGCCCAATATGGCCCCAAGGCGGCCAAATAGCGCGCCAAGGCGCCCCAAAGATGCCTCCAAGAGGGCCAAAACGGACAACAGGAGTCTGAAGAAGCCAAAATCAAAAGGCGTGCATTGGTTTCATGCTGATTGTCGTATTTTGACTTTTCTGGCTTCTGTCAGCACAAAACGGCCCAAGAAGCCTACACGATGGCACCAATTCGGCCAAAGATGCCCCCAAGAGAACCCCACGAGCCCCAGACGGCCCAAACGGCATTCGAGACTGCCCCAAAACGGCAGAAGAGGGCCCGCGGGACCCAAGATGGTCTTAGAACTATGTCATCCCCATCGCACTCAAGGACTACATCCAGGAACTACCTTCGAGCACGCACACGCTGCCCGACACGCTGGCGAGGTGCCCACCGAGTATCGCCTCCCAGGGCCCGTCACTTGAAAGCCCCTCCAATTTCGGTACTTTCTTGGTGCTCGAAATCCTTTTTCTGGTGGTCACGGCCAAAGCAGATTGGCACATCCAGAGGTCTCCTAGATGAGGTCGAAATAGATGGGGTCGGAGGATCGCGCCGCAACGCCGATGCATCGGCGATACACGACGCATTGGCGGCATCGTCGATGCATCGGCGACGCCAGCGTGGAGAAACTCGGGGGTTCCGCATCGAGCCGCATCGCCGATGCATCGACGATACGGCGCAATCCTCCGACCCCATCTACTCGGAACCCAACTTGGCAGCGCGCATTGGGGGGCAGGGGGGAGGGGGGAAAGCTTCTTAGAAGAAGACTGATTCTTAGAAGGCGTGGGCCCCACATCTATAGACAAGGCTCGCGCCTTCAAAGAAGCGGGGGTGCTTACAAGAAGCCTTCCCCCCTCCCCCATACCCCCCTCTGCGCGTAGCTGCATCTACTCGGACCCCCTCTAGCAGGAGAAGAAGGAGGAGGCGGAGGAGGAGGCGGAGGCCGAGGCGGAGGCGGAGGAGGAGGCGGAGGCGGAGGAGGAGGAGGAGGAAGAAGAAGCAGAAGCAGAAGAGGAGGAGGAAGAAGAGGAGGAGGAGGCGGAGGAAGAGGAGGAGGAAGAGGAGGCGGAGGGGAGGAGGAGGAGAGGGAGGAGAAGGAGGAGGAGGAAGGAGGAGGAGGAGAGAGGAGGAGTGGAGGCCCAGGAGGAGGAGGAGGAGGAGGAGGAGAAGGCCTGGAACACTGCCCGTTGCCCCACGGCGGCCACACGGCGGCCCCCGCCGCCGCCCTATACCTGGAGCAGGCGCGGCGCCGGGAGCCCCCCCGGGGTGGCGTCGGCGCGGCGATGCCCGTGGCCGCGGCCCCGCCCTTCGGCGGCGGTGCTCTAGCCGCAAGTTGTGTGTTTCGTTGGTTTGTTGTTTCGTTGGTTTTCGTCTGTTATCGTCTGTTCTCATCTTGTGGGTCGCGTTTTGTGTTTCTCGACCCAGAGGTTGTTCTTCGTCTGTGATCGTTTTGTGCTTCGTTTTGCCGTACCTGTTCTCCCGTTCCCTCCCTGCCAGGACGAATAAGTAACAAGACACAGCCGAGGTCCCGCATAACAGCGTTCAGGTACAGCCCTGGAAGAAAGGATGCTATAGACACAAGCTTTTGGCGCTCCGCGCGGATTTCTTGGATCTGCGGTGAGGGGAGCCCCCGGCGGGGACGGCGCCGTGCCGCACCTTCGATCGGATCCGCAGGGGCAGCATATAGGGCTTGCGAGCGGCCGCAGGCTGGGGGCCTCCGTGCGCTAGCGTTAAGACGGGCCGGTCCCTCTACAGGAGGAATATTCAAAAAATTAAAAAATTAGTCAGGGGACGATTTTTCGACTACTTTTGAGCATGCTTGGAATATTTCTTGTGTATTTTATATTTTTCGCCCAAGATCCCCCTGTAGGGGGACAGGCCCGACCTAACGCTAGCGCTGGCATATGCCTGTCCACGGAAGCCCCTCGGTGTGGGGGCGCGGGCGTACCGACGGGCTCTATGGGCCCTGGAAACGACAGGGCCGCTTTTTTACCGGTTCTGTTCTGCCGTTCGTGTTGCCGGTTCCGACGCCCTTTGCTTCCCGGTTACGCCTCGTGCTCGAATCCTGGAGCCGTGCTTTGCCGTCTCTGGTCGCCTGTTTTTTGCCGCTTCCATTTTCAAGAGATACTTGTCGGAGACGGTGAAAAATCGGCCCTGCCACTTCCAGGGCCCACTACGCCGAGGGGCACCAGGGGGGCTGGCTCGAGCGTCTGCCGGCGCAGGGTCACGGGGTGAGCCTGCCTTTCTGGAAAGGCGACATGTCCGAAGCAGGTCAAGGAGGAGAGGGGGCGATCCAGGCTCCACGAGGGGAGAGAAGCCCTGACCAACCCTGGGGCAGTCTCTCCTTCTTGGTCCGGTCCGAGTGCCCTGTCCCCTACACCGAGTTTCTTAATAAGCGTCCGGGGGGGGCGTCACCCCCGCCGACAGCCCCACACCGAACCCCCATCACGGGCAGCCACCGCACGCCGAAGGCGCTCCGACCCCCGTCGCGGCGCGACGACGAGGCAGGGTCGACCCCTGTCGAGGGGTACCTCCCCACGCTTATTAAGAAACCCAGAGTAAGCAACTGGGCTGCCCTACGTCACACGGGTCATCAACGGACACCCTCTGCACTATGGAAGGACCTTGGCGGACAGCCACTGAGAATGACTGTGGACCTCTGAAAACTAACCGGGCATTGCTGTCCCGCGGACCGCCGCGAGGCACTGATGACCACAGGGCACCTTTGACAAAACAGGGCGCAGGCAAAGGGGAGGCAACAAGGGGAATGCGCTGGCTGGAAACGCGGCAAACTCTGAGGTGCATGGCTCCAAGGAGAGATTCGCGGAGGCCAAAAATGATGGGGCACCTTCAACCATTCACCTTCGCACTCTCGCGCCGGCCACCCCGGAGGAGCGCAGCTCTCCAACACCCAGACGAGGAAGCGCTGCATTTCGCCGTCGTGCTCTTTTCATTGGTTTCCGCGGCCGTCGCTCGCCTGCCCACCGCGTGGAAGGAGCCGCGAAGGGGGGGAGGTGATGGGCCTGTTTTCCACCACCACCACCACCACCACCACCATATGTTGGAGGGGGAGGGGGTCCTCCTCCTCCTCCTCCTCCTCCTCCTCTCCTCCTCCTCCTCCTCCTCCTCCTCCTCCTCCTATTTCGTCCTCCTCCTCCTCCTCCTCCTCCCTCCTCCTCCTCCTCCTCCTCCTCCTTCCTCCCTCCTCCCCTCCTCTCTCCTCCTCCTCCTCCTCCTCCTCCTCCTCCTCCTCCTCTCCTCCTCCTCCTCCTCCTCCTCCTACTCCTCCTCCTCCTCCTCCTCCTCCTCCTCCTCCTCCTCCTCCTCCTCCTCCTCCTCCTCCTCCTCCTCCTCCTCCTCTCCTCCCTCCTCCTCCTCCTCCTCCTCCTCCTCCTCCTCCTCCTCCTCCTCCTCCTCTCCTCCTCCACTCCTCCGCCTCCTCTCCTCCCCTCCTCCTCCTCCTCCTCCTCCTCCTCCTCCTCCTCCTCCTCCTCCTCCTCCTCCTCCTCCTCCTCCTCCTCCTCCTCCTCCTCCTCTCCTCCTCCTCCTCCTCCTCCTCCTCCTCCTCCTCCTCCCTCCTCCTCCTCCTCCTCCTCCTCCTCCTCCTCCTCCTCCTCCTCCTCCTCCTCCTCCTCCTCCTCCTCCTCCTCCTCCTCCTCCTCCTCCTCCTCCTCCTCCTCCTCCTCCTCCTCCTCCTCCTCCTCCTCCTCCTCCTCCTCCTCCTTCCCCCCTCCAACTTCTGGCGTTGGTGGTGGTGGTGGTGGGAAACGGGCCAATCAGGAGGGGGGCGGGCGCCCGCGCAGGGCGCGCGGCGCCCGCGGCGCAGGTCAGTCCCCCTGGTCCGGGTACAGCATGCACGGGTGCAGGCTCGAGGGGGGCGACGGCCGCCTGGAGCGGAGCAGCGCGGCCTCCACGCGCGGGTCCTGCCTCCACAGGGGCACCCCGGCGTCGGCGAGGTCCAGCTCGGGGTTGGCGTAGAAGAGGTCGTAGAGGTTGATGTACTCTCCGGCGACGGCGCGCGTGATGTCTACGCCGCCCGTTCCTGGACCAGAAAACAAACGGCCCCACGGGCCGTAGCGTATACCAGGACATCTGGCGTGGGATTCTGCATGGTATATGCTACTGCCCCCGATGGGCCGTAGCGCAGCATGGAGGGCCGTAGGTGGGGTGGTGTCGTTTGTTCTTGTTTGCAGTTCCGTCGAGGAAGTGGAAGACGACAATGTCGCCCAGGTCGCCCGTCCAGCCCTCCACGTCCGGGTTGTACACCGTGCTGGTCACGAACTGGTTGTGCGGGTCCAACACCGCCCAGCGGAGGTCCCGCTGCACGGGCAGACCGCCGGGCTCGGACGTCACGTTCTCGACGAGCAGGAAGGCGCTGAAGGCCTTCTGGGAGAACTCGTACGGGTGGTGCCACAGCCACACGAGCAGGGTGTTCAGCAGGGTCGCCGTGTCCGCGTGCGCCTTGAGGAAGATGACGCCGGTGTTCAGGCACGTGCTCCCAAAGTCGCGGCTCACGAGCACCTCCGCCTGCGCGGCGGCCGCCAGGATCGGCGGCAGGGGGTCCGCCAGGAGCACCGTGTCGAAGTCGAGGTACAGCGCGTCGAAACCGAGGCCGACCACGGCGGACAGGATGGTGTACTTGTTGTAGATCGTCTGCAGGCTGCCTGGCACGCAGCACGACGGGTAGGGGTGAACCTCCTGGCACGCCCCGCAGGAGACGCCGTCGAGGCAGAAGACCACCGCGCGGCGAGCGAGGCCGTGGGCCCCGGCGCGCCGCAGCGCGCCTGCGAGGTACCGCGAGAGGCGCGCGCCCCAAACCATGGTGACCAGCACGACCTCGGGGAACTTCTGACACGGGTCAATCCAGACCCGGGCCAGTCAGGCCTCGCAGGATCCTGCAAGATCCTGCAAGATCCTGCAAGAGCCTGCACCCAAGCCCGGGTCAATGCGAAAGATCCTGCAAGATCCTGCAGGGTCCTGCACCCAAACCAGGGTCAAATGCGACCCCCTGGCTCTGCAGGATCCTGCCAGACCCGGCGCTCTGGCTGACCCCCGTGTGCATTCACCCCCGTCTCGAGGCTCCCGACGACCTTCGCTCTGGGCGCCTCCGGCGCCGCGCCCTCCTCCGACTCCTCCCCGAGCGCCACCAGCAAGGCGGCCAGCAGCGCGCGCAGGGCGCCGCTGACGCGGCCCTGCCGCCGGGTGCGCAGCAGCCGCGCGTGGTCGGCGCGCGGCAGCGCGCGGAGGGCGGAGATGGCACCGCGATCCTCCGGGGCGGTGAGGATCTCGCCGGGCCAGAAGTCCAGGTCGTACGGCTTGTGCTGGTAGCCGTGGGTCCTCTGGTCCTCCCGGACGGCCTGGGCCTGGTACGCGATGGAGCAGAGCAGGTTGAAGACGGGCCACCGGGAGAGCATGAGAACGGTGAGACTGTCGCGGGGCCTCGGCGCGAGGCGCCAGATCCTGGAGTGCTCCAGGCGGACGAGGACGGCACCAACACCGTGGGCGAAGACGTCGTACTCCTCGGTCTTCATCAGCTGCGCCATTCTGAGCTTCTCCAGCAACATCATGAGGAAGCCCAGCAAGCACTCGTCCGCGAGGCTTTTGTCAAACCGGGACCCGAACACGAATTTCGTCGTTGTGTTGCTGCCGCCATACTGGGTCCTCCCAGCCAGCAGCATCTCTGCGTACTCGTCCCAATTCAGCGTCGCACCAGACAAATGGCTGCAATCGTAGTCGTCGTGAATGACGCCGTCTGGGTCAAGCAATGCGTCGTAGCCCCTGACGAGGAAACGCAGCTTCTCTGCGATCTGCAACGCCACTGTCGTCCAGCGCGAGTTTACCATCGCTGGCAGGGCGAGCTCGAACTTGCACAAACCGAAAGGCGCGTCGAGCAGCACTCGGCCCACGCCGACCCGCAGAGACTCGCAGCGCTCCTCCAAGCCGCCCCGGCCCTCCAACAGCGCGCACGCCCCCCACCGAGCCATCGAGAGCGCGAAGAAGCCGAAGGGGCACTCGGCCTGCAGGCTGTCGTCCGAAAGAGCTGGCCCTGAGGCGTGCAGGCGGAAGAGCAGGTCGACGTAGTTGGCCCAGATCTCGCGCTCCCCGCCCTCGCCTCGGTAGCCTGTCGCACGGGCACTCCCGGTGGAGGCCAACACCATCACCGACTGCCGGAACGCGAGCAGGTCGCCCCAGACCTCCTCCCACGGCGGGCCTGTCCGGCAGTCGAAGTCTGGCAGCGCGGCGTCGGGCCCAAGCCATGTGCCTGGCGGCATCCTAGATGGGATCCGAGTAGATGCGGTCGGAGGATCGCGCCGCATCGCCAATGCATCGGCGATGCATCGGCGATGCATCGGCGATGCATCGGCGATGCGACGGCGATGCTGGCGATGCATCGGCGACGTCGGCGCGAAGCAAATCGGGCTCCGCATCGAGCCGCATCGGAGATGCATCGGCGATGCGACGCGATCCTCCGACCCCATCTACTCCGACCCCACCTGGGAGGCCTAGAATCCGGGGCGCGCAAATATGGATTAGCGATCCGTGGATTTGGCGGACATCCCCAAAGTGCGGCCGGTGCCGCCTCGCTCGGCGGCGGAGATCCGCTACTTCCCGCGGCAACGGGCCTCGTCACTCATCCACGCCCCTCTGATCCATGCTTGCGATCGCCTGATAGAAAGTTGAGCAGAGACCGACCGTCCCGGCATTCCTATAAGCCTACCACGAGATGTTTGACCGAAAAATGCTCTAATAACAAAACCATGTTCTTAGAACATAGACCCGATGTGTCAAAACAAATCAGTCCCAGCCAGCTATGTTCTAAGAGCATTCCGTGCAGACCACAAAAAGGTTCCTAGACCATTCGCTGGTGGGCCTCTAGGCGAGCCAGGACGCCTCGCCACTGCTTGAGACAGGCGCCTGCACCCGCCGCCCCCTCCGCCGCGCCCGCGACGCAGCAGGCCGAGGCCTCCGACGCGTACCACGGCCGCTCGCAGGGCGCGGCGGCCGCCGCCGCGCCCAGCGCCGCGCCCCGCGCCGCGAGCCGCGCCGCCGCGCCCGCGGCGGGGGCCGCGACGCCGCGGCGCGGCCCTCCGCCGCGGGCGCCATGGCGCCCAGCCTCCCGCGGCGGCGCCGGCCGCCGCGCGCGCGGCATGGCGGGACCCCCGGGTGCCGCCGGGCGGCCGTCTGTCAAGGGCAGAGGAAAACTGCTGCCTTCCTCTTGCCTTCCTCCCGCTCCTCCCGCTCCTCCTGCTCCTGCTGCTGATGCTGCTCCTCCACCTCCTTCCTCCTTCCCGATCCTCCGGTTTCTCCTGCTCGTCGAACTGCGCACAGGCACCGACTCTGGCCGGGCCCATCCTGTGAGCCCAGGAGCGGTGCACACGCCGCCGTGGCCTGGACGGGGAGGCCAAGTGCACCGATCCTGGGCCCCAGGACGGGCCTGGCCAGGATCGGCGGAGGGGCATAGGTCTGGTGGCCCGAAAGGGGCCCGAGGACACACGAGTAGATACACACAAATCCCAGGATTCCCCCCCTATTGTCCCATAGACCTTCTGGGTTTTCGTCTCCCCCCCCCCCACACTTCCCATAATTTCCAATGTTTTCCATGGGAGTCGACGAATCATTGTGTCTGAGTATTTTTCCCCTCCTGAGTCTGCGCGCGCGGCGCGGCCCCAGAACTTGAGCCAAGACAGCTACGGATGCGCGATTGTGTTCGCCCCAGCGGGTGACCTAAGATGACCAGGGGTCAACACGTGAGCCTAGCAAATCTGCAACCGTGAGGTTGCGCGGCTTGAGCGGCACCCAATCCAGGGTCAAGCACCTGGAGGCCGCTCAAACGGTGTCGAAGTCGATGGGGTCGGTGAATCGAGCCGCATCGCCGATGCATCGGCGACGCAGGCGCAACGTCGCCGACGTTTCGGCGACGTCAGCGTGAGAGAATCGGGCCCCCCATCGAGCCGCATCGCCGATGCATCGGCGACGCATGTGCGACGTCGCCGACGTCTCGGCGACGTCAGCGTGGAGAGAATCGGGCCCCCCATCGAGCCGCATCGCCGACGTCTCGGCGGCGTCAGCGTGGAGAGAATCGGGCTCCCCGTCGAGCCGCATCGCCGATGTATCGGCGACGCATGTGCGACGTCGCCGACGTCTCGGCGGCGTCAGCGTGGAGAGAATCGGGCTCCCCGTCGAGCCGCATCGCCGACGTCTCGGCGGCGTCATGCGCGACGTCGCCGACGTCTCGGCGACGTCAGCGTGGAGAGAATCTGGCTCCTCATCGAGCCGCATCGCCGATGCATCGGCGACGCATGTGCGACGTCGCCGACGTCTCGGCGACGTCAGCGTGGAGAGAACCGGGCTCTACATCGAGCCGCATCGCCGATGCATCGGCGACGAATGTGCAACGTCGCCGACGTCTCGGCGACGTCAGCGTGGAGAGAATCGGGCTCCCCATCGAGCCGCATCGCCGGTGCATCGGCGATGCCGCGCCATCCACCGACCCTATCGACTTCGACCCCATATGGGCGGCCTGGACCACCGCAGCCTCGGGGTGCGACAGGGAGGAGTGATTCAGAAGGAAAAGGAATGGAGGAGGAGGAGGAGGAGGAGGAGGAGGAGGACCTCATCGCCCCTTCTCCCCCGTCCTACATGTGGCAGTGGTGGTGGAAAAGTTGCCCATCAAAGGGACGAGAAGGCTGATGCCCAACCCTGGGGGTATACGATGGGGGCGCCCATCCTCGACGGGGGTGCGTCCGACGAGCCCCCCTGGGGGTGCATCCAAGAGTTCCCCCCCCCCTTTCTTGGCGGCCAAACTTTTCGGGCGGAGCTCGGGGATGGAGCCCCCAGGGGCCGAAGACCATCAAAAACTCCGCGTCCTGACTTCTGCCACGACGTGAGCACGTACAGTGGGGGCCCGACCACAAGAGACCTTCCGCAAGAAGCCCAACCCCGAGACCTCAGGACGTCCACTGAGTTCTGGTGTGGGAGCGCCACGCCCTCCACAGCAAAACCATCGAAAACCCAGAAACCCAGGGCACCCTGGAGGCAAGCAGGGTGCTTCTTGGCATGGGCCCCCGCTGCATGGGTACCTTCTCTCTGACTACCTACCACACCACCCCAACCAAACCCGAAAACCCGAATTTGACCCAAATTTCGGGTTGGGGGGGGTACGGGTTTCGTGTGTTTTTTTCCATGTTCCCCGACCCCCCCCCCCCAAACTGGAAGTGGAGGGCAAATTGAGGCCGTCGGGTTGGGGTGGGGTTGTCCTGGCAGGTGGTGACTCTCTCCTCCGAACGCCGTGGCGACCGGGGCGCCCCCTCCGCCAGAGGAGGAACCCAGCCGCAGACCGGGGAGGCCTCCGAGCTGCACCCGCCCGCGGGGCGAGGGCGCCGGCGGCCGGCCGGCGGCGCGCCTCCTTGCGCGTCAGGGAGCACAGCAGGGACGTCTTCCCGGCGTTCGGAACCTGCCGCTCTCGCTCTGAGAGGCCTCCTTATGATGAGCCTGTTTTCCGCCACCACCACCACCACCACCACCACCACCACCACAAGTTTGAGGGGGAAAGGAGGAGGAGGGCGAGGAGGAGGAGGAGGAGGAGGAGGAGTAGGAGGAGGAGGAGGACCCCCACTCCAACAGATGGTGGTGGTTGTGGAAAACACGCCCATCATCCTTAGGGGAACGAAGAATGGCATAAGCATAAAAGCTCAGAGGTCCGCGCGGATCTTTCTCGGATCCGCACTGGACCCCCTGGCGGCGCCTCCGGCGCCGAGAAATCCGCGCGGACCTCCGAGTTTTTATGTTTATGTCAGTCTTCGTTCCCCTATTCCTGGATCTCGCCATCGTTCAGACGTCCATTCCCCGTGCATTCTGCGACTTCGTGCGTGTACTTGTTCGCAAGATGGTCCACACTGCTCCTCGATGGTCCTCGCCGAGAAAAAATGCACACGTCCGAGCGATACTAAGGGATTGGGTCCGAACTGATGGCGCGCACAAGGAGGTAGGGGAAGGCGGGAAGGCTTCTTAGAAGGAGGCTGCGTCTCAGAAGAAGGCCCCTACCCTAAATCTACAGACAAGGCCCGCGCCTCCTAAAAAGCAGGGGTGCTCCTAAGAATTCTTTCCCCCCTCCCCCTACCCCCCTCTGCGCGTGGCCGATCCAAGTAGATCGGGTCAGGGGATCGCGCCGCATGGGCGATGCATCGACGATGCGTTGGCGATGCATCGGCGACGTCGGCGATACGTCGGCGCCGTCGACGTGGAAAAAATCGAACCCCACATCGAGCCACATCGGCGATGCATCGCCGATGCGGCGCGATCCTTCGATACCATCTACTCAAACCCCACTGGGGAGGCCTATAGTGTGCTCGTGGAGCAAAAGCAACTTGCGAAGCAACGCCTCGGAGGTCTTCGTGAGAACTACTCATATGATAAAGCCCGATTGAGCGGCCATCGAGCCAAATTCGCCCAGCCTGGAACCAGGATAAAGCCAGATGAAACGGGACTAGTCTCAATGAGGCAGGATTATGCGGGGCGCGGCCGGATTAGGCCAGTATTTCCAAATTGTTGTAGGTACGCAGGCAGGTAGGAAGTAGGTAGGGAGGAAGGTAGGTAGGTAGGTTGTGTACATACGGACGTACATACGTACGTACGTACGCATGCATGCATGCGCGTATGCTTGTATGCATGCATGCATGTGTGTATGTATGTATGCATGTATGTGTATACATGTGCGTATGTATGGATGAAAGAATGTATGTATGTACGTACGTACGTACGTACGTGTATGTATGTTTGTGTGCGTGCATGCATGTACGCATGTATGTTTGTAAGTTTGTATGTTAGTGTGAATGTACGCGTGTATGTCTGTGTGCATGTACGTAGGAATTTGTATATACATAGATGTGTGTATGCATGTAGTTGTGCATATATGTATGCATGTGTATGTATATGTGTATGTGCATGTGCATGTGCATGTGCATGTGCATGTGCATGTGCATGTTCATGGCCATGTGCATGTGCGTGTGCATGTGTGTAGATGTATGGATGCATGCATGCATGTATGTATGTATGTGCGTACGTACGGACGCACGTACGTATGTATGTATGTGTGTAGGTGTGTAGGTATATAGGTACGTAGAAATGTAGGTATGGAGGTATGCTCGTATGTAGCTATTCTGGCATGTAGGTATGTACGTACGCTCGTACTTATGCATGCACATGTGTATGCATGCATGCATGTATGTATGTATGTAGCTGTGTATGTATGTATGTATGTATGTATGTATGTATGTATGTATGTATGTGTATGTGTGTATGCATGTATGTATTTGTGTATGTATGTGTGTATATATATGTATGCGTGTATGTATGTATGTATGTATGTATGTGTGTATATATGTCTGTATGTATGTATGTGTGTATGTATGTATGTATGTATGTGTATGTATGCGTGCGTAGATGTATGTGTGTATGTATGCATGCATGCATGCATGCATGTATGTATGTATGTATGTATGTATGCCTGTATGCATGCATGAGTGCGTGCATGTGTATATATGTGCATGTATGTGTATGTGTGTATGTATGTATGTACGTACGTACGTGCACATGTATGTACGGCTGGTTCGCGTCGTGTCGACCCCGACGTTGGTCTCTGACACCGCGGGGATCGTTCAACCTTGAACGATCGGCCGTCTCCGCAACGTCAGATCGTTCAACATCGACCGATTCTGGGCCGCCGTCGGCGTTCAACGTTGAACGTCGGCGGCGGGGTCGCCGCCGGTCGACACGACGCGAACCTACCGTATGTGTGTATGTATGTACATATGTGGATATAGTGGCCTTCGCCCATTCTGGTCCCGTGCCGGGGTTGTCGGTCAGAGCCCCCTTGGACGCCTGTGAGGATCTATTGGGAGACCTCTCGAAAGCCTCTGGGAAGCGGTTTTGAATGTGTTTGGGGGAGGCATCGGGAGCATCTTGGGAGCTTCTTGGGGCCTGCTTTGGGCCTTTTGGGGCCTCTTGGAAGCACCTCGAGGTCCCCGGGGGATCTTGGGGCCATCTAAGGGCGGAGGGCTCAAAATGTCAGTTCGTGTTCCTTCTTGGGCCCCTTCTGGGGGCTGTCTGAAACTGTCTGAAGACCAGAGAGGTGGCAATGCTAAAACCATCCGAAAACAATGGATTCTGACGATTTGGGCCTCTTGGAGGGCCCTCCAAGGTACGGCACAGGAGGCGCCCAGGAGAGCTCCAGGACGGTCCTCGGGGCCATCTTAGGCCATGTTGGACATGCATGTCCGGAACCACGCGCGCTCGAGAATTCCCCCCTGGAGCGCGCCCCGGACCGCCCAGGGTCGCCGGGAACTCCAGGCTGTGGGCCCCTTGAACAAGATCCACGGTGCGGAATACAGAGAACTCGCAGGGACCCGAGGACACGCCGACTGGTGCCTCAGGGGACGGTGGCTGACTTTGTCTTTCTCCGCGCAGTGCTTGCGCTCCGGGGCTCTCAGTTCTTTCTGGGGGAAGTGGGCCTGCGCGGCGGTCTGGCGGCTATGTAGCCGCCGTCGCCGCCCCGTCGCCGCCTCGCCGCCGCCCGCTGTCCAAGCCTGCGCGGCGCTCTGGCCGCCATGTTGCCGCCGTCGCCGCCTCGTCGCCGCCCGTCGCCGCCCGTCGCCGCCCGTCGCCTGGGCTTGCGGGCCGCTCTGGCCGTCATGTCGCCGCCGTCGGCGCGTCGTCGCCGCCCGTCGCCTCGTCGCCGCCCGCTTTTCATTTCTTCGTACTGCCTTGCATTGCTGTGCACTACTTTCCATTGCTTTGCGCTGGCATTGCTTGGCACTGTGTTGCATTGCTTTGCATGGTTCTGCGTTGAATTGCATCAATTTGCGTTACATCGCATTGGGTTGCGTTACGATGCTCTGTAGTGCATTGATGTGTATTGCTGAATTTAAGTTGCCCGACCTTGATTTGCATGGCTGTCAATGCACCGCATACTTTCCACCACATATACACAACTATATATACACTGGGGATAAGTCTACATATATGTGTGTATGCGTGTATGGATGTATGTATGTATGTGTGTATGTGTGTATGTGTGAATGGTTGTATGCACCTGTGCATGTGTGTGTATGTATGTGACTCGTACTCAGTATGTATGTATGTATGTATGTATGTATGTATGTATGTATGTATGTACGTACGTATGTATGTATGTATGTATGGATGTGTGGACGTATATATGCATGCATATACGCATGTGTGTATGAATGAACGAAGTATGTATGTATGTGTGCATGTAGGTGTGATGTATGTAGGTACGTAGGTATGTAGGTGTGAAGGTGTGTGTATGCATGGCAGTATGCAAGTATGTATGTGTGCAGGTCGGTATGTATACATGTGTGTGTCGGTGTAAAGATGTATGTATGCATGCATAGATGCATGCATGCATGTACGTATGTGTGTATGTATGTGTGAATGTGTGTATGTGTGTTTGTCTGTATGCATGCATGCATGTACGGTATGTAGGTATGCATGCTTGTATACAGAAATGGATTGCGCCACCTAGCTTGCACGACATAGGTTGAACAACCTGTGTCGCACCGCAGCGGTTGCACAACCTAGCTCACACCACATGTAAGAGTGTAGTACATCGTGTACGCCACATCTATTGCACCACAAAGATGGCACCACATAGATTGCACAATATAGCTTGCATCACGTACAATGCACCACACACCTCGCAGATTGCACCACCCAGGTTGTACCACACTGATTGCACCACTCAAAAGGGGTCCACGCTGACTAACAATAGTTTACAGCAAAAAGCATCAGCAACTTTGGACAGCGCAGCGCGCAAGCGGGAGGAGATCACCCCGCAGCGGGAAGAGCCAGGGCCAAGAGCTATCACATGCCACGGCCTTCTGGGCCATCCTGGCGGCGTCACACGGAGTGTTGCGCTTGCATCGTGGCTTGTCTTGCAGTGGGCACCTGGGCGTGCTTCACTTTTTCCTCCCGCGATCGTCATGGAGGGCTCCTGGGGTGCGCCCTTGGGGCTGTCAAAAAGAAGATCGCTCTCGGAGGGGTCCCCAAGACCGTGCCCTCCCATTACAGACATTGCCCAAAATGGCCACAAGGAGGCCGCCAGAGACCTAAAGATGCCCCAAAATCCGCGATGGCCCATGAAGGATTCAACATTGCCCCTAAGTAACCGCAATGCTGCCCCACGGTGTTCAAAAGTATAGCCCGAGATTGCCTCAACAGCCCCAAGACCATTCCGAGCAGGTCCACTGACGTTTCTCACCCGGCTGTCCCTATGACACAAACTCGAGACGCGATCAACGTGCACCAAATCCGCAACCAGGCCTGAATGATAGACATTGCTTACAAGACAAGATTGTTCGACAGAAGTATGGAACGATATGCGCATGGTATACAACGCTGCAGTCACACAGTGATGCTCACATGCGAATACCGTAC